GTGGTGAAGCAGTAGGTGTGAGATCATGAGGTTCAGAGGGATGTGGGGAAGAATGTGAGGGTGTGGTGCTGGTTGGGAAATGGACTGAGTATCATGTGTGGGAGTGTGAGTTGTGGGTGTATTGGCTGTTATGTCACTTTGAGGATCATGAATAATAGGTGATGGAGAATTCAAAAGATTATTTGGTTCATGTTTGATTAAGTTGCTCAATTCCCTTAGAAATCATGTAAGGAAACACACTCTTCACAACATCCCTAGAGATTATAACTTTGTGATTTTTCAATAATACCTTATATCTCTTGTACTGAGAGCTAAACCCCAAAAAGACTCCTTGTTGAGACCTTAAGTCTAATTTATCATGCACATAAGGTTTAAGATGAGGGTAAGCTGCACAACCAAAGACTTTAAGATGATTGTAGTTTGGATGGAGACCAAAAAGTTGGAAAAATGGTGATTTGAAAGAGATGGTCTTGTTGGGAATTCTATTTATAAGGTATACAGCAGAGCTAAAGGATTCTTCCCAAAATCTCTTTGGTACATTGGACTCAGAGAACAAAGTGAGGGCTACTTCTACAATTTGTCTATGTTTTCTCTCAACCAAACCGTTTTGTTGAGGTGTATGTGGACAAGAAATTCTGTGGTGTATCCTATTTTCAGTAAAAAGATTGGTTAAGGGTTTAAATTCTGTCCGTCCATCACTTTGCACCATTTTTATCTTCTGGTTTAATTGGTTTTCAACAAAATTTTTGAAATGAGCAAAGGCTGTGAGAGTGTCTGATTTGTGTTTCAAAAAATAAATCCAAGTATATTTGGAGTAGTCATCAACAAAAGCAATATAGTAAAGGCTCCCAGAAGTGGATTTGATAGGGGCAGGCCCCCATAGGTCTGTGTGCACAAGTTGTAAAGGATGATGTGAAACATGTGTAGACTGAGTGAAAGGAAGTTTGTGAGATTTAGCCATTGCACAGTCTGAGCAAAAAGGGTTTATTATTGACATAAGGGAGATTACAATCATCTAAAGCCTTCTTTGTAACAGCAAAAGAGGGATGACCTAACCTTTTATGCCAAAGCTCAATAGACTTAGAACTACTAGCAACATAAACCTGCCCAAAAGGAGCACTAACATCATTTTTCCTCACAGTAACACACTTCCTAGACCTATCACTCAATTCTTCATCTTCTTTCCTCCTTGAAATGACTTTACTAAGCTTGAAGGTGTATAAACCATCCTTAAGTATCCCTTTGAGAAAAGCCTGCCCTGAAACTTGATCCTTCACAGTAAAAAAAGTAGGAAAAAATTCAAAAAAACACATGATTGTCCTTGGCAAATTGAGCAACACTAATCAGGTTTTTAGCTATTTCAGGCACATGTAAAAGGTTATTAAGTTCAAATGTGTGATGCTTGGTATGATAATTTGTTTGCCTGTGAAAGGAACTCTTACCAACATGGAAAATTTCCAAACCAACACCATTTCCAATCTGAAGCTTGTTTTGTCCTGAATAGTCTGAGGCTACACTCAGGTTAGAGAAGTCATTGTGACATGGTGTGTAGCACCTGAATCTGGATACCAATCCACCTCTGGGTTGTTGTCTTTTGCAGCAAACATCACTGAGGATTGAGCTGAACCTCTGTTCTCATTGAAGTTCCTTTGCTGAGGCACAAAATTAGGATTATACCTGTTGTAACATTTATCTACAGTGTGGTTGGTATAACCACAGATTTGGCACTACATTTTGAAGCCTCTTCCTCCTCTTCCTCTGTCATTTCTTCCTCTTCCTCTACCTCCTTGTTGGCTGCCTCTTCTTCTTCCACCATAATGGTTGTGTGAGGGCTCATACTCTTGAGCTGCTATATTAGCTGAGGGTAGAGTGATGTTTTCATTGACTGTTGGGATGGCTTCAAGCCTGCTTTCATAAGTTAGCAGCAAGGACATTACATCCATCATTGTTAGCTGCTCAAATCTGGTGTTTATGCTCACCACCACTGCATCATATTCTGAGCTTAATCCACTCAAGACATGCATGATTTGATCCTGCTCTGAGATCTTATGTCCACTAGCTGCCAAGGTGTCAGAGCACATATTCACTTTGTTAACATATTCTCTGATGCTCATGTTCCCTTTCTTCAGGTTTTGCAGCTGCATCCTATAATGCATGGTTCTTGCTCTTGACTGTGTTGAAAAACTTGATTCTAAGCTTTTCCAGATCTGGGTTGAGCTGCTCAGTCCCACAACTGAGATCAAGATGGATTCTGACAGAGATGAGAGAAGCCAAGAAGCAAGAAGTTGGTCTTGCCTCTGCCATGAAGTGAAATCTGGATTCACCTGGAGAAGACCTTCTTCACTGCCGGGTATGAATCTTATGGGAACCTCTGTGGATCCATCAAGAAAACCTTCGAGTCCATACCCTCTAACAATGGTGAGGACTTGTTGCCTCCAGATTAAGTGATTCTCATCAGTGAGTTTGAAGGAGATAAGCTGGTTGTGGAGTTGTATGGGTTGGGCAGTGGAAGGAGGGTTGTTGTGCTGTGTGGGTGTACTGGAATGGGCTGCCATCTCTTCAACAATGGATCAAAGCAAGTTATCCCTGCTCTGATACCATGTTGGAGATAAAGCAAATCATACTTTAGATTCAACAAGAAAATGTTTTGCAACAAATGGAAAACAAAGAGTAAAGCTGCGCAAGATCTAATTCTTTCTCCTTAGGGTTTGAATACAATAGTTCCTTCCTATATAGCTAGCTATGAAATATCTACAAAGGGTAAAAGTGAAAGCAGCTCGTGGTGAGTTGTGCATGGTGACAAAGGATCCCAACGGTTCTGGTACTGCATGAAGGGAAAAAGAGGACATGTGATAAGCATGAAGGGTAAATATGATGTGTAAGGTAAAACCACGTGGACCAATACGTGGATCAACTAATTTCCAACAATGTCGAAAAGTGGGCGGAAATGGAGTCTAGGTGGTTCTCTGGAGACGTGGTGGCGAGGTGATGGCGTAGCGGCAGCTCAGCAGATTTCTCATGGCGGACGATCGTGTGCAGCCCTAGAAGCTTGAAGAAGACAAGATTTAAATCCGGAAATGACCATCATGCCCCTCATTAATATGATTTTGGGCCATATATTTGGGTTGTACTCTTTTCTCTTAACTACAAGTAGTTGGGCTGATCATGGTGGCCCAATATCTAATTTTAAAGGCCAGCTTTTGGACTATGTAATTGGGCATCTTGCTTCTTCTATCTTTGTCCATTTGTCGTCTTTTCCGCCTCTAACATTCCGATACAATTTCCTATCACAACTCAAATAAAACACTTTCGCCATAGCTTAATAATATTAATTAAATAAATAATCAATTATATAATAATTAATTAAATAATAACTAATTATATATTAAACTACGACGAAACGGACACGAAAATCACTATAAAATGCACGTAAATGTGACGCATGTCAGCGACTTATATGTGTTATATTATAATAAATTTTCTACCTTATAACATATCATCTCTATATATAATTTCAGAATGCGTTGAGCCGGCAAACTCTCATGCTTCGGAATCCTATTTGGCAAAAAATCATGCTTTGGAGTTAGGTTTGGATATAAATTAATATTTGTATTAACAGTATTTTAATATCATTTCCTATTATAACCAATGAATTGCAAATATATTTTAAAAGTTGATAATTTTTGTATTTCTTATCGGTTTTACATATATAATATATCAAATTAATCATCTTTTGATAAGCTTCGATTCGGCATCCATATTATATATATAAAATAAATAAATTATATTTATTTTTATAATAGTAATAAAATGATTTATTAAAATTAATTAAAAAATAAAATTATCAATTAATATGTTTATGTTTAATGTAGTTATACGTTGTAAGGTAGAAAATTTATTATAATATAACACATATAAGTCGCACAAGTAATATGTGTCAAACTAAAATATATAATATATACTCCCTCCTATTTTTATTATTTCTCATATCGGCTTATATTGATCATTGATCAAATAAATGTCGTTTTAGATATTTTGTTCATATTTTTCTATTTTTAGTCCTCTATTTAATACACAATGACTCTCGTATCGTATCCCATAAATTATTTTAGTTTTTAAAAAAATTAATATTTATTACAAAAGTTTTCTAATTCAACACCGGTGTAATACACGGGTATTTTACTAGTAACTACATTAAACATAAATATATTAATTGGTAAATAATTTTATTTTTTAATTAATTTTTAATAAATAATTTTATTATTATTATAAAGATAAATATAATTTATTTATTTATATATACAATATAGATGTTAAATCGAAGTTCATCAAAAGATGATTAATTTGATGTATTATATATGTAAAACCGATAAGAAATACAAAAGGTATTAACTTTTAAATATATTTGCAATGGTTATAATAGTAAATGACATTAATATACAATTAATACAAATATTAATTTATATCCAAGTCTAATTCCAAAGCATGATTTTTTGTCAAATAAGATTTAGAAGCATGAAAGTTTATCACGTAAGGTGAGAAATTATATATAGAAGGGATATGGATATTTTTCTGTTTTTTTAATTGCAAATTACGCGAGTATACACTGTTTAATTATATCACCGAAGTACTGAATTAACACACACTATTTTATTTTATAGTAAAATATCAAATTTTATAGGAAAACTCAAGATGTACTGAATACTCACTATTAAAAAAGAAATAACCGCGCTTATTAAAATTTTGAGATAGTATAGCGTACACTAATATAATTATAAAAAATGATATGAAAATAATTAATCAAAATTCTTCTTTATTTTAATAATGAATATACTGATACTGATCGGACATGAATTACTGTCTAATATAATATTTTATATTTTATATTATAATTTTAGATATGAAAATAAATGTTATAAATATAAGCAAAGATTTGTCGAAATATATTATAAAGAAACACGCAATGAATTTGTGGTGTTGGTTTAGTTTGCGACATTTTTGTATTGTGTGGTTGGGGCCCTTCGAAGAGGTTTGTCTCGTTCCGTCCTCTCTTCTGCTTTCCTTTTCAATTCAAAAAATATATTTGTGACTTTTGAATACGCCAAATCAAGCCAGCGAAGCTTTTTCAGAATCAGGCCTTGGGGATATATTCTCCACACACAGGCCACCGAGAGAGAGAGAGCAGCGCAACGCCACTGTATTGCCGCCGGCGGCAGACAGCTTAATCTTAGGTGGCTACCTGCATTGCCGGAAAATAAATATAGTTGTTAAAATGGATCTCAGCCTTCTGGGCTCCGTTTTAGCAGCCTTTTTCGGGTTTTTCATTTTTTGTCGTTATGGATTGTCGAGGAAAAAGGAAAATAATGTTGCGGCCCCGGCCACCACCAACACGACCGCCATTTGCGAAGGAGAATGCGAATCTAAGGACGGCGGCGATGACATCATCATAGTCGGTGCCGGAGTTGCCGGCGCAGCCTTGGCTCACACTCTGGGGAAGGTACTTTATTTTCTGGGCTTGAATTTGTTTTCAACGTTTTTTTTTTTTCGGTTATTGACGGATTTGTCTTCCTTCTCACGATGTATTTCTTTCGAAACATAATTTGCTGGGTTTGCTGTAGTGTATATATAACGATATGAGAACAAATTAGGATAATGGTGTTTATGAGGATGAAATATATTTTCAAAATCTTGAAGAGGTTTGTTAGCACTATTATAGTTTTTTCCGCTTGATATTTCATGTTCCAATCTTATGTTAGTTTAACATTGTGATTTGATTTTCAGGATGGGAGACGTGTCCGTGTGATTGAAAGAGATTTGACGGAGCCTGACAGGATTGTTGGTGAACTTTTACAACCAGGTGGTTACTTGAAACTACTTGAGTTGGGACTTCAAGGTAAATCTCTGCTTTCTGTTCTTTACTAGCTATGCGTTCACGATTTCAACTCTCAAAAGCATACTTATTTTCTTTCTGGAGATAGTATTTGACAAGAAGTTAATGAAATTGATATCTGTTTCTCCAGATTGCGTGGAAGAAATTGATGCTCAGAAGGTGTTTGGATATGCCCTATTCAAGGATGGAAAAGCCACTCGTCTTTCTTATCCTTTGGAAAAATTCCATGCTGATGTATCTGGGAGGAGCTTCCATAATGGACGCTTTGTACAAAGACTGCGTGAGAGAGCTGCTTCTCTTCCAAAGTATGCTACTTATGCTCTCTCTTTATCCTATTCTTAATCTCTTTGAGAGGAGGAAGGAAAGAAAGACAAAGTTGGTCTGTAATCTTAAAAAGTGATGTATTGATTGATTGTTGTGGTATAAGTCATCTGGTTTGTATCATGAAGTAATTCAAGTTGTGCCTTTGTAGAAAGTCAAAACTGTCTCAGCACTATATGTATATGGAGACACGCATATTTATATGTTTGTGTGTGTGTGTGTTTACACATTACTAAGTGTTGCCCATTGTTTAACTGTTATCCATTCATTTATCCTCTTTGTCTTGCAGCGTCCGACTGGAGCAAGGAACCGTAACATCATTGCTTGAGGAAAATGGGACTGTTAGAGGAGTACAATATAAGACAAAATCTGGTGAGGAGTTGAAAGCTTACGCGCCTTTGACCATAGTGTGCGATGGATGCTTTTCTAACTTGCGACGCTCACTATGTGATCCAAAGGTATTCTTCTGGCATCAGATAGATTTGTTGATGTTCAATTATTATTTTATTAGGAAAGCCTCATTTGATGTTTTTGCTGTATTAACATAATTTGTATTCTGATCCACAGGTAGATGTTCCGTCTTGCTTTGTTGGTTTAGTCCTCGAGAATTGCCAACTCCCTTTTTCAAACCATGGACATGTGATCTTGGCTGATCCTTCTCCTATACTGTTTTACCCTATAAGCAGCAATGAGGTCCGCTGCTTGGTCGATGTTCCTGGTCAGAAGGTGCCTTCTATATCAAATGGTGAAATGGACAAATATTTGAAGGATGTGGTTGCTCCACAGGTAAATATAAAATAAAAAAATTAAAAAAATCAAAAAATTCACAAAACCTTTAGTCGTTATAAATCTGTTACAACAGCTAATTAACCATACATATCATATCGACAATACAGAATAATATAGTAACCTTCCTTGGTGTTTGACCTAGTTACCAAAAGACCTTCCTAGCTTTGGCAATCACAAAACCATCCTTGTGGTTCAGATTCGTCTTTTGCACTTGATGGTAGATATTGTTGTTTAGTCTCAATATTGTACCGTAGTTCAAATAACGTGACATCAAATTTTGGATTATTCCTAGTGTTTTCAGAAGTTGAGGTTTGTGGTATAAAATATATGGCGAAGTTGTCAAATTCTATTTATTTGGGACAAAATGTTGCACGAATCTAAAATCAATGGTGCTCTTTTTTTTTCTGTAAATTAACTCCTACTCTGTCTGTGCTCGATTGACTAATATCTGGAAATTCGATTCTGTCTAGATCCCTGTTGAACTGCAAGATGCGTTTTTAGCAGCTATTGAAAAAAGAAATATTAGGAGTATGCCAAACAGAAGCATGCCAGCAGCTCCTCATCCGACTCCAGGTGCTTTGCTTATGGGGGATGCATTTAACATGCGCCACCCATTGACTGGAGGTGGGATGACTGTGGCCTTATCTGATATAGTCGTCTTGCGTAATCTCCTTAAGCCTCTGCATGACTTGCATGATGCCTCTTCTCTCTGCAAATATCTTGAATGTTTCTATACTCTGCGGAAGGTCAGTTATTTTGAATACTAATTTCATATGATAAGAAAGATACTTGCATAAACCAATCCATAATTAGTAAACTTGTGCAAGTTAGCTATATTTTAAACTTGCAAATAAAAATTCTGAAGGCATTGCAGGAATCCCATCGAAAATATAATTTTGCTGACAAATTACTGGTTAAGTATGTGAAGCTAGAATTATCATTTGGAGTCCGAGTATACTACAATTTGGAAAAAGAATGTCATTTGGATGGAATAATTTGGGTTTAGCAGGGCACTCGAAGAATGATTTCAATCATATTTCACATGGCTGCATATAATACATAGATTTGAAATCTTTGCTATATCCAAACCGACTCAATGGATTTTTGCCTATGAAATTTTTCAAGTTTGCGTATTCTTTTCCCAAACAGAATTTAAAGCAATTATTGTCTCACTTAAATTCCCTTGTAGCCTGTGGCATCCACAATCAACACATTGGCCGGTGCCCTTTACAAGGTGTTCAGTGCCTCACCTGATCAAGCACAAAACGAGATGCGCCAGGCATGCTTCGACTATCTGAGCCTCGGGGGTGTGTTCTCAAACGGGCCCGTCTCGTTGCTTTCGGGCTTGAACCCTCGCCCATTGAGCTTGGTTTGCCATTTCTTTGCAGTTGCAATTTATGGTGTCGGCCGCCTATTGTTGCCCTTCCCCTCGCCCAAACGAATGTGGATTGGAGCTAGATTAGTCTCGGTGAGTAAAAAAATGTATTTTCATCCTCGAATAATTGTTTTAGTTACTGAAATGAAAAATTTCATTCCCTAAAGTCTAATCTTGTGGAGTTTAAACTTAGAGTGCATCTGGAATAATTTTCCCTATCATCAAGGCCGAAGGAGTCAGGCAGATGTTCTTTCCGGCAACTGTCCCTGCTTACTACCGAGCTCCTCCAGCTAACTAATCGAGTCAGGTGGATTGCAGCTTGTTATCAAGCATTTGCAGTTTGGATATCTGGAATTTGGTTTTGGGGAGAGTGAAAACTTTCTAGCAAAAGATGTGAAATTTGCCAAGTGTTTGTACCTGATTTGCACTCCTGTTTCTGTTCTTTTGTAGTTTTGTCTTGCAATTTATTAGTAGTTTTCACTGTAATTTGGTTGCGTTATTCACAGTTTTTTGGATTTGGTCTTGTAAATACGCCTTCCCCTCTTACGTTCGGTTTTAAACTTTCAAGACACTGCAATTGTGTACAAGTACATTTTTGCTAGTTCAGAACTGATGTTTTGTTGCAATTTTTCTTTGAAGAGAAAACTCATCTTGTCGTAGCCTAGCAATGGCTATAAATGGCATAACCGGAGCTTGATTTGGTGCAAGGGTTTAGTGAGATTTATTTAAATAAATAAAATTAATTGACTAATTAAACTAATTCATGGATTTAAATTTGATTTTTTTCTTCAATTGTTATGGTTGTGAATAAACAATTGAGCAAATTCCTTGAACAAATTAATGGATATGTTTGACACTTAATGTATCGCCCATCTTAACCCGCAGATTTTACACTTACTGAACCTCAGATCAAGCCTCCTTGAAATAGTACGTCCTTTAATCAGTACACCAAGTAAGTCTTAGCCCCCAATCGACAGCTTATTTCTGCTTTCATCAAAGATGATCAGACATCAAACTCTCAGCAGCATCTGAAGCCTTTCAGACATATAATGCTCAAATGAAAGAAACCTCAACTGTGTCTTGTAGATTCAGAGCAGACGTTGACTAGCTTATATTTGCATATACTATGTAATTACAACATCAAGTCAAAAAACAATGTTTTCTTCTCCTTTTTCTGTTCATTTTTCTTCTATGCACATGAACAGTGAGCTGCTACATTTTCCAAATTAGCTAGGAAAACTTTATAACAGAAAACAGCACATATTCTCAAGCTTCTTATTGGCGCCTGTTGTTCTTCCTGTCTGACTTGATCGCCTCATAAGACACCATGACTTCCTTAAATTTTGCTTCTGCAAACTCTGCACACAAAACACACATAGTGGAATGCAACTAACCAATAGAATATAAGATTAACAGTTGAAGAGAATATATATATCCAATCTGCATCAGATTCAACACCTTTATTATCCTGATTCTGGTCAGGGTGAAATTGCTTTGCCTTTGTTCTGAATGCTGACTGTAATCAGACAAGAATTAGCAGAAATGGTAGTATATACGTTATCTGGGCAGAGACAAATATCTAAGCATGTTGAGTAATTGACAAATATCCACCCAGTTGATTGATAAGACACACACACACACAAAAATAATAATAATAATAATAAATAAAAAAAACATCAATTAAAAGAAATTTTGCAATGGAAAATTCACCAATAATGAGGATCTGAGGATTAACATACTATTGAGCTACCAACAATTGACATGCAGGCATCATATGCCACTTGGAAGCTATTTAAATGGCAAAGTCACAAAATAAATGCATGCCTTTCAATTACAGACATCAAAATTACATTATTATAAACCAGAGAGGATGGAACAAAGTTATCGACAACATATATGCACCTTCCATTATTACATTTTTCAATCATTATAGCAACATCCAGAGACGGGAGAGGAAAGTAATTTTTAGAAGAAACGTAAAAGCTGTCAAAGTCTCACGACATTTAATGCAGGATATTTGAAAATGACCAAAATTCAAGATGTACAAGTTCTTGAGACTGTTGGGGGCAAAGTTTTACCATACAATTAACTATAACTATATATATCATGATCCTCCATGAACTTTTATTCCGATTTGCTATGCCCTTTGTGGGATTGAGCAAATCCACGTATATTATTGGTGTCAAACGTCTTTTGATAACAGTTGCATGCATCACTACTACTCAAAGGATCTCAACATTTGACAACCAATAACCAAAACTTAGTAGTAGGAAATACGAATTACAGTTGAAATGCATAATAGAACATCCAGGATGACTGAACAAGAATTAATTTTTCATCCATCAGCAGTTTTATGATCTATGCAACATGGATAAGCTTATTTCACATTAAAAAATACCTTTATCTCATCTTCCGTGTAGGGTTTTGTTCTCCGCCTGCACAAAAGATTAAACATAGAAAAGAGGTGAATTTATAAAAGAAAGACTGGATATCACCATATAGATTAATGTATTAGGTCGAGGCATCTGTAAGACGTTGGCATCATATAATGCATTGCACAATAAGACATCCATAGCCATCTAGGCAAATTCATTTCTTTCCTAGAGCAAAAAGATAATATTTTGTTTTATGAAAATAAGGGTAGCTGCCATAACTATCTTCTTATATATAAATCAGTTGGTCAGATGTGAAGAATGAGATATACATACGATATAATTACCACAAACTTCAAAATGTCCCAGGGCAAACAAAATTACAAGAGATATAACAAGCAGTAATTTCCATATCTAAGCTGTTCCATTAATTTACTAGCTCTATATAATGCTGCAACTACAGCATGCAACTTCAATTAACCAAGAAAAGCAGGGAAAGTTCTACGCCTTTTAGCTTTTCAATTAGAAAAGGGTTCCAACAAATAAATACTCGACATGTAAGTCAACCTTGAAGACTCTCTGAACTATAGAATCAAAATCAAATTATGTACAGGTCACTTACAGCAATATTAAGTCCTTAAAGCAGTCCCATATCCCTTAGTAAAAGATATAATAGCAGTCATAGAAAGAACTTAATCTCTTCTGATTAAAATAAATCAGATGAAAAACTATTCTGCATATAATTAAGTCTTAAACCAAGATCATTCGGACGTGTATCGCACCAAATTAACAGACCACAGACTTTTCAAGACACAGGAAACCTTCTTAAAGTATCAAACATGAAACCAAGAGCATTCCACATAGTGGAATGGCAAGCTCTAATCTCTAACTGGGAGAGCAAAGAAAAGTCATAATAAGCTCGAATAATAGAATGGGCTAGGCACCGTAGTCTGTGATAACTCAGGAAATCAGTCAAACTTGAGGAGTAAAAAAAGGTAAAAGATAATTGTGTTTTGAGGCAGCTGATTAGAAGTTAGGTGGTAGGTTGCCATCCACTGGCGCCTAGATATTTCTACAACATTGTTTCTTGATATCAATTTAAAACACCTTTCTTATCATTTTTAAACTTCACTACAAGTCCTACTTACCACATCTCTTAAGAGGTAATTGGCACATACCAGCTCTGCAGTGTGGAACCTAAGAACTGCCAAATTTAAACTTCCTAACAAAGCAATACACCTGACATGGGCCACATCTGAGGCCAAGCAGGGTCCCAACATCCTTTCAGTACTACTCATATACGATGGACACTATAACTCCAAGATGTGATGTTAACCCTTTATTATTGCTAAGCAGAGGTAGTCAAATTGTTCATAGATAATTTCAACAATGGGAAAGTTTATCGGAACAGTTATAGTACTATGTTTCTTGTTCTTATATTAGCAAATAACATACCTGTCAAGGCCAAGGACTGAGTAATGATGTGATAAAGGAGAACTCGCACTGGCTCTAGGAGTCTCCCTATTATTGCTATTACGATCTCCAGTTGAAGTATCTGCACTATAGTACCAATCATTCCTCTGAAACTTCTGATGATACGCACCTGGACCATATTCTTGCCAGCTCTCATAACTCCTCTTGAATTTATTTCTTTCTCTGTTGAATACACTTTGCATCCGTCGAATTCGCTCCTATAAAGCATAAGAGCTGCTCAATATAACTTAGTGGAGTTACACAAATTTGCAGTGTAATTGCGGAATTGAAAAAGTCCAGGCTTCAGATGTGCAAACGAAATTTTTTTCTTCAAAGAAATAGAAAAGCTGTCAAAATGGCAAGATACCAAGTCAGCCTAGCCTGGTTAAAGTCTGTGAAACAGAAACAATACTTCAGATTTTAAGACAGACAAAAAATTAACCAAGAAGAACAGCAACCGAAACTACCATCCAGTTAAAACATCTAGAGCCAAGACTATTACAACAAAGCTGCTAAGATCTAATCCTACAATCATTCTCTTGCTTGCTGCTTATGTTGAACTTAAAAGTAAGTCTTGAATCACAGGAATGCTTGAGAAGTCCTTGTCAGTAATAACATGGTGAAGCCTTGAGGATATCTACCAAAGATCAAAACACCTATCAAACATTTCCAGAGCACATTGGTAATTTAATTAACAAGAATTAGATCACATAGAAGTTAGTCTAATGCTCTAATCATTTCTTTATATAAAACGTAATATTAAGGGTCTTTTCAGGATTTGATCCCTGGGATAGTTCAGTCAAATACCAGTTGATAAAGCATCCTATGTCCTGATGTTTCCTAGTAAGTGCTATTCAAATTTGTATGCACTTTAACTAAAAGACTACTGATTTATTCAATCTGACATGATAATTAGTGTGGTCAGAAAGCAGCTTACATTGGATGTAGTGAGTTAAAATGTGGTCAAATGGCAGTTAAATTGTATTGAATAGGCTAAAGATCAGGCTGTAAATATTTCATCATAATTGATGGGCTGACTAGGTTGTAATTAAGCTGTATAAAAACAAGAAATATCCAACAGGAGAAGACACAGATTTCAAAAGCTCAAATATCCTTTTTCTTCAAAGATTCACATGGTATCAGAGCCTACAATGAAACTCCTTTACCCGGCTCTTTGTCACCCTCCATATTAGACTAATCTACATAGTTTCAGTGGTATTTGTTATGTTCATTTCCCTCCTCCAGAACAAACCAAATTTCGGTGGTCTTTGTTATGTTCATTTCCCTCCTCCAGAACAAACCAAACTTACTGCCCAATCTATTGAATGTGCTTTTTTCGGATATTCCCCTCATCAAAGAATTCTCTATGTTATAATCTTAACCTTTGTCGCTTTTGCTTCTCTGGAAATGTCATCTTTCAGGAAAATATGAATTTCTTTTTCACCTCTTCATGATTCTCTATCTGCGCCAAATTGTATTTTGCCATTTTTTTCGACTACTTCTGCAGGTCAACCCTCATCTAAATCTCTCTTACAAAATTTTGGACCATCTATTGTGCTATATCTATTCCCAATTTATTAAAAAAAAAGTAAATTATTGTTGTTTGTTATGCACATTATTTTTATTTTTTATTTTGTTTAATCAATAAGAAAAAGTTTAATATGTGATTTAAAATGAAAATAGGGTTGTTTCTATTCTCTCTATTTTGTAACTTAAATATAGATTAAAAATTAAATATAAAAAATAAAATAAAAATTATCAACATTATTCAACATTGTCGGTTGTATCTATTATTGAGCTATTATTTAGAGAAATGTCATACACTATAAAATTAATGATAAAAATATATAATTATATATTATACATATAAAATAAATAAAAAATTATATATTAATTAAACCGGTTCGACCACTGACCAGTGAACCATTAAACCAGTAGGTTCACCGGTTCGATGACCAGTTCAGTTTTCAGAACCATGGCCAATACCTAGTCCTAATATTATTTGCAAACTGAAACGTTCTTTGTTCGGTTTTCAGAACCATGGCCAATACCTAGTCCTAATATTATTTGCAAACTGAAACGTTCTTTGTATGGATTGAAACAGGACCCCGAGAATATGGTTCGAAATATTATGTTCCACACTAGCTTTTTCATTCACTCTGTTAGAAGTTATATTTGCCCCACATCGATTAGTTATTGGGCTGTTATTGTAGGTTGGGCACCCTCTCCCTTTGGACTAGCTTTTCGGGATGAGTTCTAATCGGGCTCATTTATCACATTCAAAGCCAGTATGATCCATAACTTTTCCTACAAACGACTCCTAAAGGCATCGTGGTGCTTCTTGTGTATGTGGATGATATTGTAGTGACTGGCTCTGATCTAGAGGCCATATCTAGAATAAAAAGATTGTTGCACTCTATTTTTCACATGAAATAATTGGGCCATCTACCTACTTATAGGGTTTAGAGGTTCACCTAGCTGGAATAAAAATGCGACGCCTGTGGAAACTCCTATGGAAGTTAATGCTAAGCACAGACAAGACGAAGGTGAACTTCTTGTTGATCCTGTTCTATATCGCAAGCTCATCGACAGTCTCATCTATTTGACTATCACTAGACCAGATATTCTTTTGCGATGCACTGAAATCTCCCCCATTCTTTCCGGCCGATTCATCTACCAATGAAGCATTATCTATTTCAATTGAGGATTAGCAAAAGACCTCAGTATCTTTAAAATTTTGAGAAAGCTGACAATGTCATAATAAATGACTAACAAAGATGCAACTAAAGTATATATACATACTACATATATATTTTCATGTAGCACACATCCAATTAGATTTTAAAGTCTTCAACCATGAAAAGAAGCAGCGGCAGAAAAAAATCTAACCACTCTCTCCATTTCTTCTTCATATTCTTCTTGCATACGACGATTATATCTTTTCCATGCCTCCTCCTGAAAACTGGTTCGGGAAGAACGCCGATCCTTCCATGATGACTGAGACCTGCTCAACTTTTTGCATTCCAGTACATACAAGGTCAGTATATTATAATTAAAAAAATATGTTCAAGAGCTGCCTATCAATCACCAACAAGAAAATATTGATACCCCATACTAATGTAACACTGATTTATTCGTAAAACACAAAAATAAGTGTATAACTAATAAAAGTCATTGTTACCTGAGAATATACCCATCCAGCCGTTCTTCGCAATTGTGTAACCTGCATTATTGTGAAAATAATAAATAAACAAATAACATTCAATAAACCAACAGAACAGGAAGTTGCAAATATATTGAATTGTGAACTTTCTTCGAAGTATGGGTTTTTTAAAAAACAATGGTGAAATCTAAATCTGGACAATGAGAAACAATATAGCAAATTATTTTATTTCTTTCAACAAAATATGACATGCCTAAAGTAGATGAATAGGGTGAGCAACTCTTCGCATATTAATGCATATAAACAACTTCTCATTGTCAAAATAAACTTCTACTATACCTAGAATACTTCAGCGTTGTTGAATCCACAACATGACTTAATTATTTCAACAAAAGCTATGTATAGACGACTTAAGGATCCCATAACCAGATTCTGCTAAGTGCTATCCAACTTTACAAAGGTGGGATTAGAAGCAAGAGAGTACAACATAATATCATCTCTCCCCACAAAATCAATCCTTCTATTGATGATTTTATATACCTCCATCTTGTGCCTGTTATAGGACATTAGTAGTGTAATTCTAGGTTTATATCTGTGGCACACAAATCATTCGGATCCCTTCCCCTATAATCAGGATAGCAAGAAGATCGTTAAATTCACCAGCTATGTTCCTCAATTCTTGATCTAATCAATCAAGAAGCAATCACATATTATAAGATCTTTAAATATGCCAGCATTAGACAAAAATTGTAAATGGTTTTTTCGACATTTAAAGTATAACTGCAACGTAATCATTTAAAACTTCATAATCAAGAACGGATTTCTATCATAAAATTTTTCCACAGTAAACTAGTTATTAGCTACAATTGTCAACATAGAACACAGATAGTATGGATACACTTCCTCAGACTAATTATCAATATCCATTTCATACTATTTGCAGAATTGTTGACAGGATAATCTCATTGAACCTAATAATGAGCAAACATCCCACATGCTGTTTAGAGCTTAAATGATAGCCTCCAGCTCAGTAAACATTTTCCGATTCACACAATTAGAAGTATAATTATAACAAAAACTAAAATGCATTCAACTCCCCATTTCTAAACTATAGCTGTTAGAGTATCCCATTTTAAAAAGAGATAAAAAGAAAAAGAATAGACAAGAGAAAGGTCACTAAAAACATCAGGACAGACATCACTCTATTAGAAACTTCACGTCCAAATTTTCTATAAAACCCATCATATATAGACATAAAATATTCAGCTTCAAACACCCCTTACCACCTCTCGATTCCCCAAATCACCACTTCTACACTACAAGCGAAAATATGAACTTTTTTAATCGATCGTCTAATTAAAATTACTGGAAAAGGTATAATTTTATGGCATTAACATGCTCATCTTCATTGTAATAGGTACTCAATTCCTAAGTCTCTTCGACCCAAAGGGGAAATAAGAAATTCCACCAAGTCAAATCAGCCACTTGCAATCATCAAATAATCATCAATGAGACTAAACTTCCCAACCCTAAAGGACAATACCTGACTTCAACCCATCGGAAATCCTCAAAGCTGACGGCTTTATATGCCGAAAAAACAATGGTTATAGCAAAACAAATTAACAATTCAAAGAAACGCAAAATGCTTACAGCAAAGGTGGTAACAGTGGCCCCTATTAATCCAAAAACTAGAACTCCCCATAGCCTCGGCTCGTTTTCTTTGTCCCGAGAGCCTCTGTTTGGCTGCGCCCATGGATTATCCCTGTTCCGTTTACCATCTTCCTCTCTGCTCATTTCTCTCTTCTTTATTTTCTTCGTAATCAGCTACAACCTGTCTCCTTGGATAACTCAATCGGAAAATCCCCAATGAATTACACCATCCGAATTTTCTTCGTAATCAGCTACAATCTGTCTCCTTTGATAGCTCAATCGGAAAATCCCCAGGCCTCGTGATGAGATTGGACTGATAATTCAAGTGTTCAACCTTGATTCGTATATGTTGGTTTAGGCTAGAGAAATGTTTCGTGCATTATTTATTATTATTATTATTATTATTATTATTATTATATTATTTTTTTTTATTTTATTTTGTACGCGATTTTAGATTGTCGTAGGAGGCTGGTTTGATTTAGAGGGAGTGTGTTAGTCGCCTTTACCTTCGAAAAACCCCAATCCTTTTTCCCGATAGTTGTTGAAGCTCTGGTCCTATGGTTCGAACTTTTTTTTACCTTGGACTCGAGTTTCGTAATATAAACGATAAAGACTGATGCTCTTTCAGTTATTCGTGGTATTTCTAACCATCTTTCAAATAACCCTTTACAACATGTTTTCGATAAAATTATTGATCTTTTGTTATCCTTGAATTGTGGTGTCTGTAGTCAAATTGACAGGGCAAATAATGTGATAGCTCATAACCTAGTTAATTGGGCTTTAGGGGCGAAGGAAAGGACTCTATGCTGCTTTTTTCTCTTCTTTCTTTCATGATGTATCTGGTTCATGATTTTGGTTGAATGAATCTAGATATTTTACTCCCAAAATAAATAAATAAATGAAATCTCATAAGAAATTTACTCAAAGTCATCCGGAAGTGATGATAACAACATTAGAGTCAAATCTTCATCGTTGTATGTGACGTCCAAGTTCAACAAATCTGCAACCAACTGATTGAATGCAGTGACGTGGTCATTCATCAATGTGCCGTGCTGGTACTCAAATTGGAACAACCGCTTCTTCATGAAGAGCTTATTCTAGCCGCTCTTCTTCAGAAATTTATCCTCCAAAGCCTTCCACATAATGTGAGTAGAGTTCTCATTCTTGAAAGTATATATACTTCTGCTCCCTGGACAAACACGAACGGATTGATCCACATGTTAAGCGGTTGATATTCTTTAAGTCCTTCTCATCAACATCGGTTGGCTTCTCTTCTTCAATGGCAATGTCGAAGCCTTGTTGAAATAGACAATTGTTGACATCAAATTTTGGCCTCGCCTATTAAAATATTACACGTAGATATATGTATTAAATAAATATAAATATAGCAGGTTCTCAGAGCTGATTATTTAATATCGACCAAGTTCCCAAGTGTCCAGATCATCCGTACTCGAGCCGAGCAGAATTGATATCATCGGCCCGACCCGGATATCGAGAAGATCCAAGTCCGACAGACACAATAATTGCCGATAAAGTAGACGTCATTCGAAGCCGTCACGTGTCACGATCGGGCCCCACAATGTCATCTTACATTAAACACTAATGTTCCCTATTTACCTATTTTTTTAGGCCCACTTGTAAGCCCACTTGTAAGAAAAGGGGGATGTACATATACGTAGTGAGGGAAAAGAGAAAAGGGGGGTCATTATTCATTATCTTCCTATTCATTATCTTCTTGAACACACCAAAAAACCAGGAAAAATGAGATGAACATTTCTCTCTCAAAAATGAATAAAAATACATAATTGATCCTACACCGATTATTCACAGAATAGGGGTGTAATTTTCGTTGATACAAATCCGTTTATCAACATTTTGGCGCTAGAGGAAGGGGCCGTAATTTACTCGGGGTTAATTTTCGCCGGAAAACGACGCTGGAAAATGGTCACGTCTCCTCCAAGAAGAAACATCTCCAAGCTCGGTGATGTTATTCTTACTTCCACTCTTATTTTCTTCTGTACCCATAATCCTAGTTTGGATGAATATTCTTGTACAACATATAAATATAGATTGCAGATTCCATCTGGAAAGATGAGATGATAAAAATAATAAAAATCAGATCTATGAATTTGCTACCAAAAAAAAAAAAAAAAATGGTGATAGACAAAAGTCCAAGATCCGACATTCTTTGTTTGGTAAAGTTGTATGTTGTTCTTCTGTTATCGAAATCCGACGTATTGAACTCTGTCGGAAATATCTCACCGTCGGGTCGTAGACGCCGCCGCCAACTACGGCGAGAAGAGGAAAATCTTCAAGTTACTAATCTCAACCGGGCCGCCCGCACCCTCTGTCGGTTTCACAGCCAACGAACTTCGAAGCAAAATCCAACCTCGTAAGTCGGCCAAGGATGACGGCAATCATCCCATCATCGGCTTCATAACCGGCATACGCAACCTCGGGTCAAACTTCTCTACCCCGATACCTCAGTTTAGTCACAACCTCAAGGTAGACTTCTCCATCTTAGGACCTCGGTGTCGTCTCCACCTCGGGGCCGACCCCTCATCTCGGGTGAACTCATCCTCAACCTCGGAGTGCGGGCTCTCAATTTGCTGCCGACGACCTCTCCGACCTAAGACCGAGGTCCGAACACCTTGACCGAAACCCCGAATTCCGAGTCAAGCCGACATCACCGATTGCCGACACCCTCGCGCCACAGGTCGAGCCCGACTTTAGAGCTACCTAGCTTCTCTGCTCGCCATTACCGACCTTGCCACCTTCGCCAACCGCCGAAGTGAATTCTCCAACCGAGTTCGACTTCGGATAATGGATTGACCTTTTGACGACTGGGTCCGACCTCCACTGCTCCACACCTCGAAACGGGGACGACTTCTCCGTTGTTGAGCTCGGGCTTCAAATTAGCTCGGCCCTAGTTGCCCCTCGCGTGTCACGGGGGCCGACTTTGTAGCCACCGACTTCTTCGAGCCCCAGAAACTTTAGCTCGGCCCGACCTCAGCGTCGCTCACCCCTCAAGCAGTCGTCACGGGCCGACATCATTGCAACTCGGGCCCGACCTCACCATATATCGTGGGCCCGACCTCACTGCTCCGACGTCATACACTGCTGCCCGACTTCTTGACATACCAGTCAGATCCGACCACACCAAAGTCGGAGCCCAAGTTACACCTCGGGCGCCAGTTGTCGAGCCACGTGACATGGCCGAGCTCGATCCTCAAATCACTACTTAACTCACCAACACCGACGATGGACTGAGCCTAACCTCGAAGATGGGCTAACCTCATAACAGCCGACCTCGGATTCTTCGAAGCAGACCGAGGTCCCACCTCGCTGTTCACCGACAAGCTTCAAAGCCACATCTCGCTCTCCGATCTCCCAACGTCATATCCGACCTCCAAATAGCCATCGAAGTCCGATTTGCCGGCACGCCACCAAAACTGACCGGATAAAAGTCCTCACCTTCGATTTGATCACCGGATCTCCGATTTACCACCGGAACTGACCTCTAAATCGCAAATTATCCCCCTCGCGCATACCGACTTCGGCGACCCCGATCTGAATCAAGTATTAACCTCGGATTAAGGTATTTCCCTTTACCTTTCAATCTCAATAGCTTGCCTTTTTAGTTGGAGCCAAACGGAGTTAGCGAGAAGGGAAAATGAAGAGATACACGCCGACTGATTAAATGCCATATTTTATTGGGTATTGACATTTGACATCTATTGGGCCTGCACCTTTTTGAAAAATCCCGAGATCAATTACTTGTTGATGAAATCAAATGGGCCTGTATCAACCTAAAAAATATGGGCCACAAAACATAAATCCGTAAGATATACGGAAGTTTATCATTTGCTCGTCTCCAACCACATTTATCAATACCAGAGTCGAAATTATTTATTCAAACCAACGAGAGCCGGGGGCTGAGATTATTTATTCATACCAACGATAGTTGCGGCCGAGCTCGTTCACTCCGAGCTGATTTATTTTTCAACGATGGTGCCGAGTTCATTTATCTACGCCAGGGACAAATTAATTTACCGACACCGAAGCCGAAATCATTAATCAATGCTGAAAGCTCCCTCAACTTATTCATTCACACCAAGGCCGATAATCTATCTGGAATGTCCATATGTCCTCGCCGTTGAGCCCGGACTCCGGCTGAGTAGACCCCTACTTTTCTCGCCGTTGAGCCTCGCCTCTGGCTGAGACGACGTCTATATTTTCTCGCCGTAGAACTTCGACTCCGGCTGAATGACGTCTATATTTTCTCGCCGTAGAGCTTCGACTCTGGCTGAGCGATGTCTATATTTCCTCGCCGTAGAGCTTCTTCGACTTCGGCTGAGATGACATGCCCAATTCTTACACCAAATCCTTAAGTTGATTTAGTACGATAAATGCCTATTACACCAAATCCTGAAGTTGATTTGGTACGGCAAATACACATTACACCAAATCCTAAAGTTGATTTGGTACGACAAATGCCCATCACACCGAATCCTGAAGTTGATTTGGTACGGCAAATGTCTATTACACCAAATCCTGAAGTTGATTTGGTAACGACCAATATCCCGGTAAAGCAGTCGAGGTGACACATTTACCGCACTCATCATATATTTACTCACTCATACATACGTTCATCATATACATGCATCAAACCTGCATCTTGACATCAACAAACAAGCCAAACACTTGAAAGTGAACGGTTCGGCCCAAAGTGCCCCAAGTTGGTTTTTAAACTAGCGTTTTGTAAAAAGGGGCCCAAAGTGCCTTAAGTCGGACTAAAAACTGACTAAAAATTAAATTAAAATTAACCAAAACACTCGCAAAGGCCCGAGCGCCCTACGTATCGCCCAACAAAACGTCCACGGTCTCAAAATACCCTGCCAACATCAATGTGTCATTTATCGCAGCCAAAATTCATTTTACGTATGACTTCAGAACAGTTCTATTCAGAACATGTCCTAAAGTTAGGGGCCTCTATGTTGACATCAAATTTTGGCCTCGCCTATTAAAATATTACACGTAGATATATGTATTAAATAAATATATATATACCAGGTTCTCAGAGCTGATTATTTAATATCGACCAAGTTCCCAAGTGTCCAGATCATCCGTACTCGAGCCGAGCAGAATTGATATCATCGGCCCGACCCGGATATCTAGAAGATCCAAGTCCGACAGACACAATAATTGTCGATAAAGTAGACGTCATTCGAAGCCGTCACGTGTCACGATCGGGCCCCACAATGTCATCTTACATTAAACACTAATGTTCCCTATTTACCTATTTTTTTAGGCCCACTTGTAAGCCCACTTGTAAGAAAAGGGGGATGTACATATACGTAGTGAGGGAAAAGAGAAAAGGGGGGTCATTATTCATTATCTTCCTATTCATTATCTTCTTGAACACACCAAAAAACCAGGAAAAAGGAGATGAACATTTCTCTCTCAAAAATGAATAAAAATACATAATTGATCTTACACCGATTATTCACAGAATAGGGGTGTAATTTTCGTTGATGTTTATCAACAACAATCTAGCACCTCGCTTTGCCACATGCCGAAATGGCCGATCCTATCGAAGATTTCCACCAGGAGTCTGACGGCATCACCGTGCTTGCCGGAATGAGTGCAGAGGATGATGCGCCCTCGACCTCCTTGGACATCTTGAACTCGAATGCAGTTCTCGCCTCACCGAATGAGCCTAGGATGAACCTTCGGCTCTGATACTACTTGTTGGGGTAAAACAACAAGTGCAGCAGACAAAAATACACCTACAACAAATATGGCAAGCACTACTACTAACGAAAATAAGCCAACAAATAAATAAAAGACAAGAAAGAAAAAAACACACAAAATTGATAACGGAGTTCGAAAAATATTTACATCTTCGGGCACTGCCAACCGCAACGCCAAATTTACTAAGCTCACCAACAAGATACAACTAAGGTTAAATAACCCACAAATTAGGATCTCCGTAATTAAGGATTTTCTTCTAAGATATGAGAGAATAGAATAAGATACAATTGTAACCTACAGGCAATGGACCTATTTATACTAAAAAGATCCAACACATTGTTGACATCCGAGTTCGCCTCAAAAGGAAACCGGACAAACGGCAACTCCAAAAGCTGAACCGGAGACCCGGTCGAGTGTGCAAGTGTCGAGCTGAGTCTTGAATTAAGTTGACCGTCACATCTCCGTGGGTCCATTCCCGAGTCCGACATTTGTGCCGTTCAAGCACCGGTGCCGACCTCGAATAGGTGGCGGGCTGAAGAAAGATTCCAGAGAGCCAGAAGAGTAGAATGGGCTCGGGAGCCGACCTGAAGTTTCAGAGCGGTTGCCCCAGAGACCGGCGCAGGGTCCGATAGTAATATAATAACGCCACTTGGAGAGTAATCATTGACGATTGGACAGGGTGTCGTAGCCTGTAGGTTTACATTCACTAGCCAAGACATAAAGCCTGCCAGCATTAAATAACCCCCATGTGTGCATTAAATGCCCGACAGGCAATGATTAGGGAAATCTCAAATCGCATTTAATCTGTCAGGGAGACGCCGGACTGCCCTGCAAGAACACTGTACGACAAGACCGGTGAATAGTAACTGAACAGTGCCACATTTAAGGCACTATAAATAGTAGCCCCCTCATTTATTTCTGGGTTGTTGAATCTCCAACTTTCAGACTCTCTCTCTCTCTACTTTCCCTCTCTAGACTTGTAATAAAACTCTGTAAGAATTGTAAGGACATCACAAGTGCCGAGCTCGTACGAGAGGCCGACCCAGTGACCTGATAATAAAATCATAATTAAACCGTATCTCTTTGTCATTTTTCTCATCCTATATTTCTATTACTTGTTTCTTTAACCGTTGACCGAAAACGCCCGTCAACACACATCTTTAGTACACATCTGATTTGAGACAAAACTTAATCAAAAATTTAACGAAAAAATCATTTCATTCAGAAGCAGATATACTCTCTCAAATTGAGAACAACATGAAAGAAGATTTTATCCTAAAAAACACACAAATCAAGATAAAATTGGATCTAAATGCATCTTTTTTCAGAACGATAGAGAATTGTATAGATAAAACTCACAAATGTACAAAGGTACAACCCCTAGCTGAATAGTACAACCAAAAGCTGAATAGACTAGGAGGACGGATCTGAAGACCGTCTAGAGCCGTCACTAGCAACAGTAGAAACCAAGACACAAGACTCACGACACAACTGACAGTACAAACACTAATAAAAACAACAGAGCTCCCAAAAGGATAATAAACACAAAACGATCCCAAAGGGATAATACCCGCTCTCACTTAGGCAAAACTAATGTTAGAGACCCAAACCAAAAACACAAGACCAAACCAAACAAACTAAACAAACAAACACACTTAACCTAAAAACAGATAAAACAGAACAAACTCAAAAAGAAAACAGAACCCTTCCCACATCAGATAACCAATCCCAACACAAGGCACCAAAGAATCATAGACAAACACCCCCGGAGACTGAATCGCAGTTCAGGAATCTGCTCCCGAAACTGCCGAAACGCTAGCTGNGCCTAGATTCAGGCATACCAGATATTCCACGCCACAACACCAACGGAATAGGGACACAGGGGTCTCGAATCGACCCACCTCAGTCACGGTCGACTCATCTCAGATGAGCCGAGCAACCAGGGTCGCACCCAACACCCCGACCACGCTCAGCACCCACTGTGATCCGGCAGAACCGCAGCTGAGCCCGCCACCGATGACCGGACAGAGATGAAGCCGACCAAACGTCAATCCACCATCGACGCGACCCGGAAGAAGCTGAGACTGCCGCCTACAATCGTGAAAAGGCGAGTCCGGCCGATGGCATCTGAGATCCACAACTGGCGCAAGAAGATGAAAAAAGCGTGAAATAGGAGCGAGGGTGTGCAGCGACAGGCCATCCACCGGCGAGTCGCCGAGGAAGGCACGCTGGAGGCAGTAGGAGGTGCGACGATCGGAGGAGAAAGGGGCTAGGGTTCTGAGAGAAAAAGGGGCGATAGAGAAAGAACCTAATACCTTTCCAACTTGATCTAAATGCATCTTACCGATTAGAAATTCTACGAAAAAATAAAGTGTGCCAAATGTTGAAGGTGATGCAGAAGTACGTGTCAATGATGTTGAGGCATGATAGACGTCCGACTGAGAAGGCGGTCAACAACCAGTCCTTAACCATGCTGGTGACGTTCATGGTCAGCACCGAGGTCTTCCCTGCTAGGATGAATACAACAAGGTTGAGTGCGAAGGAGCACAGTGAATTTATTATGAGGCCATCTCCAACTGAAAAACCCATTCTCAAACTTATTTTGTAGTAACTGTCACATCACACAGTAATTCATCTCCAATCGAAAAACTCATTCTCAACTCCAAAAGAATATTCTCGAAATATTCTCTTTTACATCAGTTTTTACAACTTTTCAATATTATCCTATTTTTACAATTTTATAAATTAAACCACAATATTATTTTAAATTTGATTTGGAATTTATTTTATAAAATTAATTATAAAGTTATAGTTCATATACATATTAAAACCGATTAAACATATATTCATTAAAATTAAAAATTACAATGCACTAGATGAAAAATAAAAGTACAAGTAAAATACATAGTTTGGGCAGTTTTTCAATAATTTGAGAGGAAGTGGTATCAATTTGACAGATTACTATATATATGTATGCTAATTAATTTTGTAATTATGATGTATTTTATTTTTTGTATTTATTTGTTATATTTCATGGTTTATGATGCATTTTTATTTTCCGTAGTTCTATGTTATCTTTTAATATTATGACTAATTTGGTAATATTAATGTCTTTTTTATGTGTTAAGTTTGTAGTCTTTTTTTAAATATATTAATAATGAATATTAAAAGAATTAAGTAAATTAATAGTCTATNTAAATCGAAGCATATATACAAATATATACACACACACACACATATATATATATATGTAAGAGTAGACGTGTTAATATAAATAAATAATAGGACTCATTTGCAACATAAAAAGATCAAACGCAAAATTTGCTTTGAAATGCAAATTTGCACTTGAGAAGGAGAGATAGAGCCCATAGATGCATTTTGCTGATCAGTTTGCAGTACCAATGGAGAGATTTTACTGCAAGAGTTGAGTTTTGCATCTCGATTGGAGACGGTCTGAAAATAAAAAAATCGACCTGAAACCCTGGTCGCTGTCTTGCCGCCTTAGAAGGGGGAATTCGACAATTAGACAAAAAAATTTCAAGCGCTAGCGAAATCAACGTCGGAGGCCTATTCACGCCCATCCTCGCCTCTGTCGTTGTCGGCTTGGATCTCAACCACAAAAGTGACCCAACAGCGGTGGCCTGCTCACTCACTCGTCGGGTCGGAGCCCGAGATAGAGCACCCGACTCATCCTCGTCGAGATCCTCTCCTTCGTCGCCGCTGCCGTTTTGATCTCGACGTTGAAGGCGATGTTGAGGCATGTGAATGGAAGTTGAATTTGGCGAGTGATAGTAACACTCAATACGTGGACGAAAATGACGAAGAGTTTTGTGATCATATGCCCTATTTGCAAAATGTCTGAAATACTCCTAAGGTTAATAATTTGATGCCTTCTGTTTCCGCCCGATCAAGCATAGTTTGTGACAGAGATTCATTTTTCTTTCTTTCATTATCACTCATTCTCAAATGAACTCATCCATATATATATATATATATATTTGACTAAGTTTTGATTTGTTTTTTGTTTTTTTTTTACTATAGGGTTGATAGGATATAGATTTGACTAAGTTTTGATTTGTTTTTTGTTTTTGTTTTTAATTATAGTTAATTTTGAAAAAGTTGTTGGGTTAGGTTTGAGCAAAATTTTGAGTTTTTATTAAAAAAAAAATATAAAATAAAATGATTAAAGTTGATTTGATGTAACAGTAGACAAATTGTGGGTGGAAGTAATAAGTAGATAAAATTATGTGAGTGGATAAATAGTGAATTAAAATTTATGTGATGTGTGAGGATGATTGGTTGATATTATTTAATTATATTAATAATACTGAGGAGTGTTGAGTTGAGTTTTGATTTAGAAGATTGAAAATAGAATAACTCAATCGGTTAAAACGGATTAAAACCAGTTATGATCCATATCTAATCGAATCGATAGAGTTTGAAAATATTAACATGTGGCGATGACGATTTGCCAAAAAATTAAATAAAATATATTTGTGTAAGAGGAAGCGTTTAATAATATATAAAATATTTTATTTCAATATTATTTTTAAACATGTATGGATACATGTGGTTGTGTTTTATTCTAATGAAATACACAGATATGTTGTTAACATATATCCAATCATATGCATCACAGGACATATGTGCTAGTTTATATAAAAATTCACAAATAAAAAAATAGGAAGAAAAAGAGAAAATGAGAGAGAGAAGTGAAAAGTGAAAACATCAATTCCAAACAAAAAGAAAAAGAAAACAAAGGAAATCACAAGAAAATAAAGCATTCTAAGGAGACAATAGGGTTCTCAAGCGATTCGGCTTCTTCCTCTGGCACGACGTCGTTTCGAGGTTCTCTAGTACACACCATCTCACTCTTCCCATCTCCCCGGCTCATCGGAGACATCAACCTCCACCCCTCCCGCCGCCACCTCACGGCAGCCACTTTCCTCATCTGCATCGCCGTCTGCCTATTCTCCACCGCCGCTGCCCCCCTAGCGATTGCTCCTCCATTGGTATTACTTGGAAAGCTCTCTCTAAAGCTACATATTTCCGAGATACCAGAAACAATGTTTTTCCCGTGCAGATCGGGTTCGGCTTGAATCGCCGGCGGCGGCAGCATCAAAACCGCTCCATTTAAATATTTATTTTCAGGCGGCATCAGTGTATTGACTCTTTCATCTAATTCCGAGACGACCTTCACAAGGATTTCCTTGACAGTTTCTTCTGACTCGAGAGCACCAATTGCGGAGTCCGTCTCATCTTCTGTGCTGTGACAACAGCCCATTGTTGTGTATTTTCAGAGAATAAACAATGACTTTTAATTTTGGAAAATAAATTAAATGGCCATTTCACATTGAGTGAGGAAAGGAAATACACAAGAGTGCTCTGTTCTATTATTTTCAATACTTTTTTTCTACTCATCTTTTCTCCCAACACAAATACCCCAAGTGGTTTTATGTTTTCAATAAAATTAGACATTTATGATACAAAATCTTATAGTTTTATTTATATTATATTTTTGGAATCTAATATTGTATTTTAAAAATATATATATATATATATTCAAACATAAAAAAAATAGATATTTTTATGATACAAAATCTTATATTTTTATTTATATTATATTTTGGATTATAACATTTTATTTAAAAATATACATTTCTATTCAAACATAATAATTGTCTAACTTTAGGCCTATATATATAACAATAACCTGATTGTTTCTCTCATTTATCTAGTAGGGGTGGGCAAAAAAACCGAATTTCCCGGTCCCGAACCAGACCGAAATGGTCCCGTTCCAAAAAAATATGGTTAAAAAAGGTTTTCTTTATTTTCGTCCCGTTCTCGGTCCCAAACCGATTTAAACAATGCCGGTATAGGTTTTTAATATTTTTTTTTTCGAATCGTCCCGTTTGTCCCGTTTTATTTTTTTTGTACAAAAATATTATATATAAATAAATACATTATTATTATATTTATATTAATAATATAATGAATAATTATTTAACTTCATTAGTTCATAATCAATAGTTCCCTGTTCTGCATGCTTCATTGCTTTGTCCCTTTATATTTGTATGTTGTAAATTGTGATATTTAGAAGCCCAATTCTACTTGGCCCAAAAAAATTAATTAAACAATTACCATTGCATTTGGCCCAAATAGTGAATAGATAGCTGATATTAAGAGACGGGTGAAGTGAACTGTGACCTTCACTTTTCAGATTCTTCATTCTTAGCCAATGTGTATGTGTATGATTGTTTTGAACTTTTAAGTTTAATGTATGTTGATGTTGTGTGTTGATGGAATATGTATTTGTAATTTGGTTGAGCTTTTTTTTTTTTTTATCCGTTTTGTCCCGGTTCCGAATCGTTTTGTCCCGGTCCCGATTGATACCGATCCATTTGGAACAGTGTCTCATCCCAGACCAGTTCAAAAAAAGGGGACAGGTACCAGGATAGGTCAAATCCTGAACCGTCCCGGACTGTGCCCACCCTAGTTATCTAGTGTTAGATGAACATTTTGCAAACACATATTATTGTGTGAGCTGATCTCACCATTACGCGGGTTGATATCATTATATTATTTTTTAACAAAAATGCATATTTATACTATGAAATGTTATATTTGATTTTACTATATTTAGAGTATGACAATTAACTTTAAAGTATTAACCATAAAATCTTCCTGAGGCTTACTCTTTTGGAAATATGAGATTGTTAGCATTTAATAAATTGAATTAAGTATACATATTTTGGAGTCCAATAAAATGGATTATAGTATTAATTAAGAAAACAAGCCTTAAATAACTAAATGTACACCCTTTTGGAAATATGAGATTGTTAGAGCATGTTTGTTTACAAGAATTTTCAAAAAAAATTCAACATTTTAACTCAACCACTTTTTTTAATTCAACCCCACTATCATTAATATTATAAATATAATTTAATAATATCAATCAATCATTCATAGACACCACACAAATCTTAATTCACTATTCATCCACTCACATTATTTTAATTAACCATCACATCAAATCATTTCTCTCTTACTTTTATATCAAATCAATATTAATTATTTTATTTTAATTATTATTTTAATATACCACTAACAACTAACCATACTACCTTTTTTAAAATTAATCAAACCAAATCAAAAAATCCAACAAAACCAAAATTTTTTATATATAGCATTTAATAAAGTGAATTAAGTATACATATTTTGGAGTCCAATAAAATGGAGTATATTAATTAAGAAAACAAGCCTTAAATAGCTAATTGTACAGCCTTTTGGAAATATGAGATTGTTAGCATTTAATAAAGTGAATGAAATATATAGAATTTGTAGTCCAATAAAATGGATAATATCAATTAAGAAAACAAGCCTTAAATAGTTAAATCTATATATATATATATATATATAATTTGCTGATAAATCATTAGATAAAATTTAATAAATAAAACTTTATAAGTTTTACCTATGCGTCATTTTCTCTCCAATACAATCTAATATTATTATTATCATATTTTCATTAATCCACAATATCACATTAATGATAAAATATTTTCATACACTTTTTCCTGAGTTAGTTAAGACAAAAGCCGTTACATTGGGTGAGAGTTAAAAGAGAAAAAAAAAATTATGAAAATTAATAATATTTTGTATAAAACTATTACTTAGTTGTGCTTAAATTGTGGGCCAATATTTATAAGAACTATTAATGGATTACTAGTACTCAATCATGGTCACATGTATAGATGTAAATAAAATTTTGTAAGCAATATGTGTGTATAATATTTCAAATAATAAATTAGATAAGGGGCACATCACAATTTACAAATTTTTTTATTAGTAAAATTAATGATACGAATAAAATTTAGTAAAATTTTTTTATTAGTAAAATTTTGTATAATAATTTTTTTTTTTTTATTTACAAAGAAGTGGGTCCCACCAACAATTAGTACACCTGCCAACTAAGTCAACAGCCAACACCACCCAACCCACCCAACCCCACACGTTTTCTCTCTCTCTCTCTCTCACACACACACACACCACCACTCACACGTTACACACACATACACACACAAAAAACGGAACAGACCTCTCCCACCTGCTCACATCTCCGACGGCCGCCTCCTCGTCTCCGATGACTGTCAGCAGCACACATCGCCGACATACACACATACATCTTCCACCGGCACGCCACCCAGCGACGCCACAGTCGCCGTCGGATGCCGTTGCCCGCCACCCCTGTCGAGCGCCGTAACTGCCTTCATCCAGCCGGGTCGCCGCCGACCTCCGCCTCAGCAATACAGCCGCCATCTCCTCATACCACTCTGTTCCACAATATGCCGTCGTTTTTCACCGGACAAACGGCCGAACCTCCCCGACTCCCTCCGGCAACCGTTGCCGGATGTCGGCCGTGTATGCGAACGACGGCATAAACTCCGTCGGATCTCGAAGATTCGGGTGCCGTGGACGCTGAAACAGGAACAATCGACCTTCAAGCTCGACCTTCTATCTCTAATGGCAGATAAAAAAAAAATTCATATCACAGGCGATGGTTTGAGTGTCCAGGAGAGGTCGCCGGCGAGAGGACATCGCAGGTGCCAATGCGGCCGGACGGAGGTCTGTCGCCGGTTGGTGAACGACTGAAACCCGATTTGGAGTGGAGGACTCATGTTTGAAAATATGATAAGATTCAAGGACTAATTTGCAAGTTTGATAGTTTTAGTTAGAGCATCTCCAATGGAGATTGTGATGTATAACATGGAGAAAGGGTATTAAAATTTTTTGTCTCCAATGGTTAGTGTTAAGTGAGGTGTCATTTGTGATGTGTAAAATTGTAATTGGTTGGAGAAAAGAGATAAATTGAATAAATAATATAATATATAATAAAAGTTGTTTAGAAGGACTTCTACATCTAGAAAGTCTTCTAGACATTTTTCAGGCCACGTTAGATTTTTTATGTCATGTGGCAGCAATGGAAAGACCATTGGAGATGCTCTTAATTTCAATTAAACCCATGGGGTCAATCTATAAATATAAAAAAGTTTAATTATATTTCAATTTAATCAATTTGTCAAATCTATAATTTACATAAAATATATAAAAAACACATTATTTTATAAATATTTTTTTGTAAGACATATATATGTTATTATAAACCAAAACTAATATAAAATAGTATATAAATTATTAAAATATTATTATTATTATATAAATAATATGTTATTTTGATTATTTACGCTAATTCGATTAACAAACGAGTAAAAAAATCTCGCACTATATAATCCATGGTATTACCAAAAAAGATGCACATTAGTAAAATTCATACTGCACAATATTACCATATCAAATGCACAATAATTTGAAAATGCACATTAGAATATAAAAATAATAAAATAAAATAACATAATCGGCCAAACACTATATATCTTTTAAATACATAACATAATAAACAAAATATTAAATAAAATAAGATCAAATATTAAAATATTATTGAACATATTGAACATTATTGACTGACCGGTTGCACTTTTGTGTTAGCGAGATTGCACCTTAGCATAAAGAATTGTAAAAATATTATTTTGAATATATTTTTTATACATATATAAATTATGTATTTTTCAACAAAAAAAAATTACATAAAATATTTAATAAAAATAGCAAAATAATAATTATTTACTGTACTATAAATAATAATTATTTCAGTTATTTAGATTAATTTGGTTGACTATTCGAAATAAATCAAATATATTAAAAAAAACAATTGCACTTGGAGTGCATATTAGTGTCAGATGGATTACACATTAGTGACTGTCAGATTGCACTTTAGCGAACAAACGTTCGACCGATCTAAATTCGCATGATCTTAATTTATATTTTGATCAACTATCTTTGTTACTTTAAAAATTTGGTGATTTTCGATTCGAGTACGAATTTATTTTTAAAAATAATCAAATCGAACAAACTATATAAAAAAAAAAAATCATTATTTGTTATATATATAATGTAGGTATTTATAATAAAAAATAAATATAAATATTAACTAATTAAACCATTAGAATGCTAAATATATTTTATAATACAAATTATAAATTATTTTGTCTTTTTAGGTTAAATCGGCTAATCAATCACATAGACCAATCATTTTAGGCTTCTTTTGGATTGGAACAACTACTTAAAAAATAGCTGTAATTCGAGTGCACATTTATATTAAGCCGATTGCACGTTAGTGATATACATAATGCACTATATCAATCAATCCACATCTGAAATAAAATTTTTGGTACGAATATTTTTTTATTCAATTAACTATTCGGTAACTTTAGATTTTTGGATATTTCAATTTGATGTCGGATGTATTTACAAAAATAACCAAATCGATCGAAATATATAAGCATATGTTTAAACTTAACATTAATTTTTGAAGTACTTGTGTACACACACTATTATGCAATTTATTTATTAATATTGTGCAATCACTAAAATTTTAATAGATTCATATAAAATGATAATATAATCTTAATGTGCAATCCCTAAAATTTTAATAGTTTCATATAAAATGATAATATAATCTTAATGTGCAATCCCTAAAATTTCAATAGTTTCATATAAAATGTTAATATAATCTTAATGTGCATATGTACACACCATAATGTGCAATTTAGAGGGATGTATTTAATTAGGATTTCTAAAGACTTTTTAAAACTTTAGAAATCCTGGTGCATTCAATTTAAATTTGTTAAGACTTTTAAAAATTTTGGGGTATTCAATTGGGATTTTAAAAAGTCTTACAAAATCCTGAGGTATTTAATTTATTTGACACTAGGATTTGTTAGGACTTTTTAAGATTTGGTGGGTTTTCTAAACAAAAAACCTTATACAAAATCATACTTCAAATCCCACCTCCACACTTAAGATTTCACGGAATTTCTCCAAAATCTGGGAATCTTAACAAATCTCAAATATTAAAAAGTCTCAAAATGTCACTTGAAATTCCAATTGAATACACTCCCCCTACTCATTAATATGATGTATTTATCAAAGTTTAATAAATTACAAATTGAACCCATGTACTCAATTGAAAAATAGTTAACTTTTTTTAATTTGCATATTAATCCTCAAGCATTATCAAATTTTAAAAAGGAAGTCCCTCAGCCCCTAAATCACAGTAACCTCCGACGGCCAGTTCCTGCCACCTCTCCGCCGCNAAGAAGTCACGCATGTAACTTGATATCTCGCACTCAACCGCCGCCCCTGGCAGAGCCTACGGCCCGACGCCGGCCTCCCGCTGTCCTCGACTGGCCGGGCGTCGTCAACAACCACAGAACTGAACAACAGCAGCTACCAAGAAAAGGCCGGCGTGGACCTTGTCGGTCACCATGTACGGCCACTGGCATCACAATCGGCGGCGAGCTCGTCCCTCATGGAGTTGGATGGTCGATGAAATCAAGGCCTCCTACAACGGTGGTGTTGCAACAGTGGACGGCGGAGGTCACGGTGGCAGCAGGGGGCGGACCACTGGTCGCGACGTTCGACGGTGGCGGAGACGGCTGATACATTGGCAGAGGCGGCAGATCTATGTCGTCGGCGGCTGAGGGAGGGGAGACTATGCATATATGTAATGTGGCAGCGAGAGGTCTGGCTGGCGGCGGGAGATGGGGATGGCGGCGAAAGGTGGGGACTGCGGTAGGCGACGGGGCTGGGTGTGGAAGAGGGCGGGGACGTGGTGGTGCAACTGTGTGTGTGTGTACAGTGTGAGATCCTGCGTTGCCTCCTGTGTGTGTGTGTAAAATTGGGTGAGGTGTGTGTATTTGCACATTAATAGTAAATAGATTGCACAATACAATGTGTTAACGTGCACATAAAAAATAATGTTGTGCTTTATGAAATCATATATTCGGTTTATAATTTTAGCTAAATGCTATATCAGTTAGTATTGTCCATTGGTTGGCGAATCGATAGAATTATGTTTTATTTTATATTACGCTATTGTGCGTTCGGATTATCACTACTGTGCACTTAGTCTAACGCAATCGTGCAATCTATATCACAGTGACATTCAACACATTTTACAAATTTTTAAATGTGTAAGCGACGACAACTATGTAAATTCATAAAAATATGATTACATTTTTAATGTGCAATATTATTTAGTATCTTAATAAATTATTATCATACTAAAAATATATTTAGTATTTTTAATATTTTATATTAATATTATTTGAGAATTTATAATTTATATATAAATAATATAAAGACAATCTAAAAAACTATAATATTTTTTATATCATAAAACATATATAGTATTGGTTATTATTAATTATTATTTTTTATATGTATATTTTATATAACTCGGGCGGTTAATCCGTTTATTATAAAAAAAATAATGCCAACATCGAGCTTGGATAACCAAAATTTAAAAGAGATAATAAAAAATCGACCCGAAATATAAAAATACAAATAAACAAATTTAGCTCAGTCAAGTTTTGTCGTTATTGTGCAATCTGTCAATCAATAATGTGTAATCCGTCTAACATAATTGTGCATTCGAATTACGTGCATTTTTTATGATGTGTCCAATCAAAATTAAAACCGAAGTGGAATAATTGGTTTGTGTTATTTGTTAACTTAATTAGCCTAAAAATTTAATGTTTAGTATTTTTAAATAATAATATTTTAAATTATTATTTATTTCATTTAGTATGTATAATTATTTGTTTAAACTAAAAAATATGTATCTATAGACAAAATATAAAAATAATATTTTTTATATAGCTTGTTCGGTTATTTTATTTATTTAGTTTTTGTGCATGTAAATAAAGTCGAATATGGACCGAACTAACGAAATTTTTATTATTTGTAAAAATGCACATTGTTATGGTATTGTGCATTCTCGAACGAACTAATGTGCGTTCGTTTCAACACTGCTGCACTTTGTGAATTTTGCAGTCTGAGTTTTTTTTATGTGCAAATCTACACTATAATTTTTTTTCCTAAAACGATAGACTACACTATAATTGAATCGAAATAATTTACTATTTATAATGTAAAAATATATTTATTATTTATATTATAAAAATTATTTAGTATAAAAATATTTTGATTAATGTTTTATATTGTTTTTATTTGAAAAAAATTAAATACATAATACAAATATATATATGTACTTTTTATATATTTTTTATAAATTACGAATTTGATCCATATACTAAATTAAAATTAATCGAAACTATTTAAATTGCTAATGTGCATTTTTTATGCATTTCACTAAATATTATTGTACAATTATTAAAACTTCAATAAATTATACATGTAACCTATGAATTAAAATCAAATATACTACAATTTTTACAATTGCAATTAAGTCCCTAGATATTGTCAATTTTTCAAAATAAAGACCCTAACACACATCACTCCCATCCCTCAATTGCACGCTGCCTTGCCTATCCCCGCCTGACCCCGCCGTCAGCCGCTTCCTTCATCCCCTAGCCGTGCAATTTCGTCACCGGTGGCAGACCTCCGTCCGGACGCACCTCCCCAGCCGACGGAATCACTGCGAGTTCACGGCGTCGAAACTCCGCCCTCGTTGTCTCATTCGCCGGCGAAATTGAGGCGAACTACCACCAAGGGCGNAGAAAATTTAATTGACCAAATAATTTTCAATATAGACATACTTCATTAAAAGATAAAGTTTCATTATCTTCCTCAATCTGATCAAGTTTTCTCTTGAAAAACGAGTCTATTCTTGATGACTTTGACATATCCTAAAAATAAAAATAATCAAATACGCACGAAGAAAATCAATAATCCAAACAAAAGTAAAGAACCAGTGAAAAAACAATAACTTGTTTCACTTCAATAGTGCTGTGAAAAACTTGGAAATTTAGTTAGTTCATGACAAGCTAAAATGCAAAAGGAGCCCACAGAAATGGATAAAAATATAATATCTCTTGACTAATAAAAAATTCATACAAATCCAGCTGAAGATGGAACAACAGCCAATTCCTATCAAGACCTCCAGCTATACACAGAAAAATTGGGGAAAAAGCAACTGAACCAAAAAAGGATTGAAAAAATCACATATTCACATCTGAAATCAAGAATCTAAACACCCCCCAAATTAGTCAACAAAGAACGACACAATTAACAATAAAATTAATATTTAAAAAATAGTATAAGCCTTATATGATTCATGTATTAGAAATTGATATAAGCCTATAATGATCTAAGCTAGAGAGGATAAATTAAGACATTTAAGAATGATGAATAAATACACACATTAAGTGCTAGTTTTAAATCCTAAATCCCTAAAAAGGATAAATAAATCTAAGTATGAACATGAACATAAATTAAAGTACTCACAAATATGAAAGGATGACCAAATATTCAGAAGAATAAAGGAATTGTTGAGTATATTTGCTGTTGCAGATTTTTTTTTTGTGCTTGCCTCTTGCCTGCGAGAAGGGAACTGCGAGAGAAGAAAACTCTGTTTGTGTTGCGAGTGGACCTGCGGTCATGTGCTGTTGCTAGATTTATTTTTTAAGTTAATTAAATAGTCTTGATTAGCTTGATTAAATATTAATAAAGATAAAATATAATATTATAATACATAAAAAGTTGAAAGTTGGGTTGGGTTGTTTTAAATATATTCATGGGCCTTGGTCTAGGCCCACCTAATCAAATACAATATATTTTAGTTAATGGGTTAGGGGGGCAAAATCAAATAAATATACTTAAACCATTATATTATATGTATACATAGGTGAAAAAAAAAAAATGTATGGGGGGACCATGGTCCCCCCTATGGTACATGTCCGTCCGCCTCTGACTACCACAGAGAGGGGCAAAACCGGCGGCGCGTGGTGGTAGAAGAGATGCCGTCTCAACCTCTGAAAACTGGCAACGGTCACCCTGAAGAGGAGACTCGTGACGAGGGTGAGGGGCGGAATCGAAAAATGTAGGGGCGGCTGCAGGGGAAGAAAACGGCGACGACTTGCAGGTGGACGACAACGGCGGAGAAAGGCGGCGGCTGCAGGGGAAGGAAACGGCGACGACTTGCAGGTGGAAGACGGCGGTGGAGAAAGGCAGCGGTTGCGGAGGAGCTGGTTGTGGCGCTGGTGGGTGTGTGTGGGGAGGTGCGTGTACAGGTGTGTGTTTCGATTTGTGTGTACGTGTTTAATGTGTGACAGAGAGTGAGAGAGAGAAAACTCTCCGTGTGTGTGAGAGAGAGAGAAAAATGTGTGTGTTTAATGTGTGTACAGAGTGAGAGAGAGAAAACTCTCCGTGTGTGTGAGAGAGAGAGAAAAATGTGTGTGTTTAATGTGTGTACAGGTTGACGTGGTTGGCAAGATGGAATAATTAGGTGGGGTCCACTTCTTTTGATATGGTTTGAAATTACAAAAAAAACCCTTACTCAATGTAGAATTTTGGTTTTATATTAGCCTTTTGATTGATGATCGGATACGGTGTATTTTCAATATTTTGGTATTCTCTTTTAATGCTTTGTTTGACTTTCAAACCAGCCCAAATCTGTGTTTCACAAATGAACCTAGATGTTGCTGTCTCAACTTCGAAATGTGATATTGTTGGTGTTGCTGTGCTGTAACTTGATATCAATGCTATGATGCTACCACTTAAACCGAGCCATATCTAGCACTTCTGTATCCTTGCTGGTGCCATTATATTTGCAATGACTGCCATATAGACATTCTTACCTATTTGCAACACATACACAAGTTGTCAGTTAATTTCTTGGTTTAAGTGCCGACTTAACCCCAGTCAACTTCACTAGCCTTTGTGTAAGTATTTTAAGTTTTAACTAGATTTAAGCTAAAGATTTGGTT